ATACCACATATGAGTATCCAAAACAACTATGGCAGCCTCCCATCTTGCCACACTCACAGCACCTCTCGGACATTATAATGTTCCATACTGCAGAGAAAGATTACACCATCTTCCACCTTGCTGTGACACTGTAGAAAAAGAAACATGACCATGTTTACACTAAGGTACAACTTCTGATGTATCACCACTGTTGCACAATTGTGATAAATTTTATACAAAGTATGCCTTGTACAGTATCATTGGAAAGGTTGTGATTTGAACAATGTTATCCTGTTTACATGTGTGTATTATCATTGTATACAAAAAGTTATGGATCTTTGCTGTGTGTTTGTATCTTGAACATGTTGTGTTCCTAGGTAACACCCACAGGACAGATTTATATTAAGACCAGCCAGCCATGGTTGATGGGCCATTTGGGAAAATCAATTCTTCCAAGGGGCCCTTCCCGAGGATGCCTCGGCATGGCACGTAGAACATGTGATCCCTGACTCTATGTTTGAGACAGTAACTTTCCATGCACATGGATGGGGGGTATAAATTGGAGACTGACATCTCCTTGCCTTTTTCCTGCTCCATATCTCTGGACTGATTTCTAACAAAGGGAAGCTATGAACACTGGACTGAGGGCACCTAATCTTTTGGGTGAACCAGACTTATTGCAAACCGGCAGATTTAACATCACTGCTCTTATCCTGATCTCCAAAGTCTGAAATCAACTAATGGATATGATTCACTTTAATAATTTAATAACTCTCCTCTTTTTTATATTAATAAACCATTAGTTTTTAGTTACTAAAGGATTGGCTACCAGCATGGTTTGGGGTAAGACCTGAAGTATATTTTGACCTGGGGTGAGCATCTTTGGAACCGGTAGAACCAAGTATGTGATTTCTGGTTTTAATAATCATTTATCAGAGAAGTCTGGTTTGTCTGGATGGTACATGAGGGACTACAGGGCCTGAAGGGGAATGTCTGTGGCTTTATAACAACTCGTATAGCATTTTGGAAGCACAGATTTGTTATTGGCTTGGTGAAATCTTATGATAGACTATATCACGAGTTTGGGAACAACCCCTGTTTTCTGGCAGTCTGACCTGAGATTGGTGCTCTTAGCTGTGACCCATACCAGCCAGTGTGACACTTACTGTTTAAAATAAACGTCCTATTGTGTAAGTAATACAGCACAACTCCAATTTGCCAAAACTGTACAATACAATACAGTGTGTGCTGTACTGTATTGCAATTAAAACAAGAGGAACGAAATTAAAAATGTCAATCTTGTGATCTTCCTCTTTCAGGAAACGGATAATAAAGTGCTGGTTGTTCTACTGTTCAGTCTTTGTTGGATCTTTATTCATTTTACATCAATGCTTGAATAATAAGGGACTTCTATTACCCTTGGTCAAAGACTATAATAAAATGTGTGTTTGTCACAGCTATTACTTCTGTGATATTTAGACCATAAATTTATATGAAAAACTATCAGTCTAATCAGCCCTTCACTGAGGGTTTGTCTACACCAGGAAAGAGTAAGGGTGATTCTGAGGTTTTAACTCACCAGCAGCATATCAGACAATTTGTGTGGAACTGTAGTACTTCACTTCAGTTATGCTTGGGTTTTTTTGTTATCTCAAGTTCACGTACAGTATGTAAGCTGTCTCCCTTTTGTGTGCCTGTATATATATAAATCAAAAGAAGCATGACTTAGCTGTCAAAGCATACATGCTGGTCATGACCCTATGGTTCATCAACCAGCTGATGCGATTTTCAAGAAAACCTAATCTACATGGGAAAATTATTTTGGAATAAGGAAAAGTATGAATTTAATAGCTATAGCTATTCCAGAATAACTCCCCATGGGCACTTATTCTGAAATAGTTTAAAACAATTTATTGTAAACCGAAAGGATACTTGAGTGCTCAGTTACCCATGAGACAAGGTGGTGGAGAGAACATCTTTTATTGAACCAATTTCTGTTGATGAAAGAGACAGCTCTCTGAAGTAATATCAAAAGCTTTTATATGTAGCTCAACACAGTGACAACACTGCAGATATAATTTCCCATGAAAGTTTACCATGAGTTCAGAATCGGCTTTTCCTTTCCTTTCCCCCCGCCGCCTTAATATGGCTTTCCCCATTTTTTGCCATTACAAACAACCAACCAACCTCATGTATTTGGTATAGGACTTGTCTACATGCGGGTTTAAAGGTGTAATGTTAGCACATTATCATGCATTTTCTAACTGACATGTTTTAAAAGTCCACTAGACAAGGTACACTGCCCCTAACCTATTCTCCTCCATAGCGTTTAACCCAAAGGCAGGCAAACTTTTTTTGGTCTGAGGGCCACATCGGGTTTTGGAAATTGTAGGGAGGGCCAGTTAGGGGAGGCTGTGCCCCCGCCCCCTATCTGCCCCCCTTGCTTCTTACCCCCTGATGGCCCCCCCAAGACTTCTGCCCCATCCAACCCCCCCCCATTCCCTGACAGCCCCCTGAGGACGCTTGCCCCTTACTGCCCCCCCACAGCCCCATCCAAACCCCCCTCCTTCCTAACTGCTCCCCCGGGACCCCTGCCCTCATTCAATACCCTCATTCCCCGACCCCACCCCCTGACCACCACCCCGAACTCCCCTGCCCTCTATCCAACCCCAAACTTCTCCCTGCCCCCTTACCATGCAGCACAGACCACCAGTGGCTGGCAGCACTACAGCTGTGCTGCCCAGCGTGTTGCTTGGCACCCAGAGCGTTGCGCCGGTGTAGTGTAGTAAATTCCTCTCCGTAACTGCTACCAATAGCACATTCCTACGCGGAGCAATTTAATACACTACACCGGCAGCATGGCGCATTGAGGCTGCGGGGGGGGGGAAGGAGGGGGGAAACAGTGGGGGCGGGGCTGGGGGCAAGCCTCCCAGGCCAGGAGCTTAGGGGCTGGGCAAGAGGGTCCCGCATGCCAGATGTGGCCTGCAAGCCATAGTTTGCCCACCTCCACTTTAACCCAGCATGTACAAAAATGGTAAAGAGACATTGTCTATCCTCAACTTTTAAAATGCATTAGCTAGGGCAGGATAGATAACACATCTTAAATTCTAGTCAAAGCAAGGCCACAATTTCTACAGGTGACATGGACAGGAAAGAAGCATTTTTCAGAAGTCAATGTGTCAACTGGCTTGTGGCTTCAGAGTTTCTAGACTTTAGTTTTTTTTGAATAAAAGGAAATTTTGTTGCTTAAAATAGACAATACTGTGGGAAATTATCTCATCACGTTAATGTGAGCAAGCCTGCTAAATGGCCCATACCCACTAATGCTGTATTCAACTACATTAGTCTTCACATAATACTTTGAAAACCTTTTATGAATTTCTGTCTAGCTTCCTGGATTCACCATATGGCATAGATGCTGAGGAGATTACACAACCAGGAGATGCTAAATGGATTATTTCATATAAAGGGAACAAAAAAAACCAGTGGTCTATTCATGAAACATCTGCTCGTCTCTGCAGGCTTCCTGTTGGCTTTTCTATTAATCCTTCAAGTGAGAGCTGACAAAGAGCAGAAGAATTCAGAGTCCCTAATAAAAAGAGATGGGCCATCCAAAAAAGCAACCTTAAAAACATAATACTGTATATTATATTAAGATAAGAGAATGGGGAGATGCAATCAGAAAAGTGCTTCAGGATTGACCAAACCCAGAATATTGGCTATGACCATGTACTTTCATAAGAAGACAACTGGAAAGTCTATTGAGGTTAGAGTGAGTACTGAGATTAGAACACAAAGATCACTATGCCATGTGCAGTGTATTAGGCCCATTGCTTAGGTAGTAGGGTGACCAGACATCCAGATATTCTGGGGACAGTCCTGATTTTAGAAGATTTGTCCTGCATCCAAACCTTACATCGGTCAGGACACGCTTTGTCCCGATATCGTGACTGTCTGGACCGCAGCTGCAGCACCATCGCTCACCACTTCCTGGGGCAGCTCCCGGCGCCCGCCTGCTGGCAAGAACGCCACATGCTGCAGGGGTGGGGCTTGCAGGCACTGGGAGCAGGCAGAGAGCCCTCTGCCCCCCCTCCCCACCCGACCCATGACCCTAGGAGCCAGAGGGACCTGCCTGCCAGATGCTTCCCGGGACAGGAGCCGCCCCAGGTAAGCAGCACCGGGACTCCCCACCTCACCCCCTGGCAGGTCCCCCTGGCTCTTGGGTTGGGGGGCTCTGCATGCTGCCTGCCCCTGCAGGCCCCGCTCTGCAGCTCCAATTGGCGCTTTTCCCAGCCAATGGGAGCCACGGAGCTCGTGCCTGTAGGGGCGCAGCACATGGAGAATCTGGAGACCCCCTTGCCGCTCTCACCCTAGGAGCCAGAGACCTCCCAGCAAGGCTGGTGAGTACAGCCAGGGAAGGGGGCAGGGCGTGATGGTGAGTGTCTGGGAGGTGTGTGGAGGGCGCTAGGCAGTGGGGAGGTTTGTGTGTTTTGGGGTGCTGGGCAGTGGGGGAGATCTGTGTGTGTGTCAGGGCACTGGTGGTCTGTGTGGGGCATTCTGTAGCTGTGGTGGTGGGGCTGTGGGGAAGGGCACTTGGAGGAAGGAAGGGAGGGAGGGGAAATCTGTGTGTATTGGGAAACTAGCGAGTGGGGGGTTCTGTGTGGGGGGCTCGGCAGCTGTGGTGGGGCTGTGGGCAGGGGGGTACTGGGCAGAGGTGTGTGTACACAGCACTGTGCATTTGTGGTGGAAGGGTTGTGGGGGGGCTCTGGGCATAGTGGATCCCTCTGGGGTGCTGGGCCGGCAAGCTGTGTGGCGCAGCATAGGCCCCCCTCCCCTCCATCTGCCCCCTCTCATGGCTCTGGTCAGGGCTGTGCACCTGTGTCTGTCTCTTCTCCTCCCCGCCCCCCACCCCTGCCCGCTCGCCCAGTGTGTCCTGATATTTCACTCTTGTAATCTGGTCACCCTATTAGGTAGGTCATTTACTACTATATTGGACAAAAGAGTAGAACACTGCATCACACTTCAACTTAAGGTTCTGTTTATAAATGGTTAATAGAAGTTATAAGCATATTATAGAAATGAGTAGTATCTTACAGATGGTTATACGTGCAAAATTGCAGGTGACAGACGGTTATAAGCAACCCACTAGACTCAGACAGGTGAACCACCACTTACCAAAACATCTATTCATCATATGTTAACCCTTTATAACAGTGGTGCACAAACTTTTCCAGTCAAGCCCCCCCTTACCTGAATCTGTCTGCGATCCCCCTCCATTACTGCACAGCTAAAGCTTCTTCAGCAACAGAGCTTGGGCTGAAGGTGGAGCTGGCCCAGAGATTGAGCAGGGCTGGGGGTGGAGCATGATGCTCCCTCTGCCATGTGCTGGCCCGAACATTCCTCCACAGTTTGGAGACCACTGCTTTTTAACTACTTATGAGTGGGATTTTACATTAAAACATGATCAAAAATTGTTCTAAAGAAACTGAATCCTGCATCATTACCATCAACAAAGAGATGGCCTAGCAAACATAGGTTTTCCCTCATCTCTAATTTCTGCGTTTAAATAGAAAACATTCTCTTTCACACAAACTCAGCTTCAAAGCATGGACAATATTAGATCTTTTGGGACAGAATACTAAGAACTAGTTTTAGTAATTTTTAGCACATCGAGTAAATCAAAGTCCATTTCCTTGACAGAGGAACATGGTTTTGATTCACAACCCTTCATAAAGTTTTGTTATGCAAAACCCTGGGCCACTGTGGAGCTTGTCCTTGGGGAATCACGTCTGCTTGACACATTACTATGGAAAAGAGCCACTGACAACTTTTACAGCTCAAACATCATAGTTATGAAATGATGTTCAGTTTACGAAGCATGCACATGATTTTAAGCCAGTTTAAGATGTAAGGGAAACGTTTTTCATCTGGTACCAGTCTTCTGAAAAAAGTCTGTGCAAAAAGTAACCAGCAGGTGGCTATTACTTCACCACCTTCACCCTTCAAATCTTAAATGTTAAACTGGATCTTCAAGCCAGAGCCTGCAGGAGTCAGTGAGGAGCCCAAACGTGATAGACATTGTCCAGCCATGTGAGAAAATGTAGTTCTTAAGCTAGTCTAAATTAGCATCTTCAGCATTTTGTTTGTATGTTTAACGCTCTTAGATGCTTCCTTCATCTCCAACTATCCTTCTGTTTCTTCCTATTTGTCCAGATGCCTCTCAGGATCAGGCCAGATGAAGGTAATCCAGGCTCTAGGCATACCCCACCTCAATGCCCCAACATGACCCTTCCCCTGCTTGTGGTGGTCACCACAAGGAGTCCCCCACTCCCCCAGGGATGTTGGATCAATATGGTGATGTGTATTGGGCCCCTAGCAATGAAACTGCCTTAGAACAGCTCTGGTATGGCAAAACACCTCCCATGTAGCCCAGAGCTGGCATCTGAAGAACCAGTTCCTAATACAAGGTTTTCACAAAAGCATGAAAAGCAATTGTCAGACCTTCTGTAAGAAATGAGAGGAGCACTTCATTCCCCCGCTACCCCCATAAAGAGGTGCATGTCATACCAGTATCTTTTAAATTTAACAGCCCATATGCAAATTCTAGCTAAGCTTCCACCCATTCTGCTCTTTTTCAAAGCACTGCATAAAATATGTCATTAAACACACACTAAGCAGCACCATTCTGTGCTGCTACCTAGTGTAAACTAATACTGGCTCAAAGTCTTTCCTACTAATCTCCTCTGCATTCTCTAACTCACAATTTTAGAAAACAAAACCTGGAATGAAGTTAATCTGGTTACAAACATATACATTTGTATTTTCAATTTCATTTCTTGCATTTTTTTTTTATGCTGACCACCTTATTCCCATGCTTTTGTAGCATAACATGACAATCAACCAAGGCGAGAAACTTTTTGACTACTCCCTTGCTTTTGTTTGTACCTTCTCCTGCTTAGTGCCTGCCATCTGCAGCCTATTTTAATGGTTGATGTAACACTTTTCTGTCACCATGAGCATCTTTTCTCACAAATTACATTAGTTCTTCACTTAGAGCAGCAGCATATCCAGAGGACCAGCCAATTCCCACTGAACAGCATGCTGGCAGGAGGGCGTAAAGTATTGTTAGTCATTGGCCCCCTACAGGAAATCTACAGAGATTTCATAAGAGATCACATTCATCAAAACAGTATCCTATTCTATTAGAGATGAGCATTTCTTTGGAAGACATGAACTTTGATTTTCAGAGCCTTTTACTCAATTGGATTTTCTGCATTGACCGAGTGCATTTCTGACCTTGTTGAGTCTTGATGTAACCTGAGGAAACAAACACAGGGAGACTGATTTGTACAAATAAGAAGTCTGTGTGAATAGAAGCTTTATCTCCTGAATCCCCGTCCTCTGCCTTAAACAGAAGGCCAGCTTGAATTTCTCCAATTGAGTTTTCTTTGGTCAGTCGTGCATGCATATAGACATTTCAATGAAACGGATAGAGGACCCAAAATGGACTATTTCTTGGAATTAAGTACCAAAAGAGTTAACATTAACAAGGTTCTGCACCACACAACCAATTTTAAAACTTTGAATTCAGACATGAAAAGCAAAGCCCAGCGAGTATTGTGACAAATTGCCGGCACTACTATAATGGGTCCCGCGCTTTCTCTTCTTGTGGGGGGGGGGAGGTTTCAGGGCGCCATTTCTTGCCCCTGATCTGGGGTATCAATTGTCCCACTAGTATCCCAGAGAAGGGGAGTGGAGAGGGAGAGACCCAGGCCAGCCCTCTACTCTGGGTCCCAGCCCAGGGGCCCTAGGGATAGCGGCGAACCACTCGAACTAGCGATTCCTTCCCCTGGGCTGCTTCCCTCTCCGGCCCTTCAGCTTGTGGGGCTTCCTGCCCCCTGTCTGCTTGGGCCAGGTTTCTCCCAACCCCTTGTGTCTCTGGAGTCCCTCTGCTCTGCACAAGCCAGGTTTCCCTTTACCTAGGGTCTTGGTCTTCTGGCCTGCCACAGCACTTCTCCAAACTCTCCTCTGCTTCCCTCCAAACTGCTCTCTGCTCCAACACCAAACCACTCTGCTTCAACCCCTCCAACTGTCTGATTGAAGCAGGGGTTTTTTCTCAGGTGACTGGCTTCAGGTGCTCTAATTAATCTATAACAACCTCTCTTCCTTCTACAGGCAATAAGGCTTTCATCATCCAGGGGCTTACATAGCTCCCCTCTATCACTCTCCTGCTGCCCTCTCGCCATGCTGAACCATATATTCCCTCCCCCACCCCTGCTCAACACCATGGGGTTGGACTACTTGGGACAAGAGGCGGTGCTGTCGTGACAGGCCATCAGCATTGCCGTGTTGGTTTCCAGCTCTATGCTGCACCCGGAAATGGAAGGGATGCAAGGATAGGAACCATCTAGCCACTCTCGTGTTCTTCGCCTTGTTTCTGTGCATCCACTGGAGCGGGGCATGGTCTGTCACAGGGGTAAACCACCGCCCCAGTAGGTAGTGACTGAGAGTCTCCATGGCCCATTTTACTGCCAGACATTTCTTTTCAACAACGGCGTACTTTTGTTCCCTGAGGAGTTTCCAGCTGAGGTACAGGATCGGGTATTCCTCCTCCCCTACCATCTGCGAAAGGATGGCTCCTAGCCCTACCTCCGAGGCATCTGTTTGTAGGACGAATTCCTTCTCGAAGTCTGGAGCTATGAGTACTGGATGACAGCAAAGGGCTGTCCTTAAATCTGCGAATGCTCCTTCCGCCGTATCAGTCCACTTTACTATCTAGGGGCCCCAAGCCTTTATCAGGTCCGTCAATGGCCCTGTTCTTGTGGCAAAATGAGGGATGAATCTCCAATAGTACTCTACTATCCCTAGAAATGCTTTGACCTGCTTTTTGCGGACTGGTTGAGGCCAACCATGTATTGCTTCCACTTTGTTCCACTGGGGTTTCACCAAAGCTCTCCCTACTACATACCCGAGGTATCTGGCCTCAGCTAGACCTATCACACACTTGAGGGGGTTGGCAGTGAGGCCGGCCTTCTCAAGGGTGTCTAGCACTGCTTCTACTTTTCCTAGGTGCGTTTCTCAGTCAGGACTATGGATGACTATGTCATCTAAATAGGCGGCGGCATACTTGGCATGGGGTTGCAGCAATTTGTCCATAATTCGTTGGAATGTTGCAGGGGCCCCATGGAGTCCGAAAGGGAGGACAGTGTATTGGAACAGGCCATCGGGTGTAGAGAAGTCCATCTTCTCCTTGGCATTCTTGGCCAGCGGAATTTGCCAATATCCTTTGGTCAGGTCCAGGGTGGTTAGGTATCGTGCCTTGCCTAACTGATCAACTAGCTCATCGATGCGTGGTATCCGATAGGCATAGAATTGGGATACTTCATTCAACTTCCGGAAGTCGTTGCAAAACCTCAGGGTGCCGTTAGGCTTGGGGACTAGTACAATAGGGCTGTGGGATTCTTCAATAACCCCGAGTTCCAGCATCATCTTCACTTCCATCCTAATTTTTTCCCTTTTAGCTTCCAGTATTCGGTACGGTCTTATCATCACCCTTACTCTGGGACTGGTGATGATATGATGTTGGACCAGCGTCATATGGCCTGACTGTGTACAGAACACGTCTTGGTTCCTTTGGATCATATCAATGACCTCTGTTCATTGTTCTGGGGTTAATTCGGGGGATATCCTCAGCTGCCCCTGTGGGTCATCTGTCTGGGGTGGAGCTCCCTGAATGATCAGGCATGTCTCTCGGTCCCGTCAGGGCTTCAGTAAGTTGATGTGGTAGATCTGCTCTGGCCTTCGGCGGTTTGGTTGCCTGACCTTATAGTCCACCTCCCCAATGGCTTCCGCTATCTCATACGGCCCATGCCAGCTGGCCAGGAGTTTGCTTTCTGCTGTCGGCACTAGCACCATCACCCGTTCTCCTGGCTGAAATCTCCGTACTTTTGCCGGCGGTTGTAATATGTCCGCTGGGCCTCTTGTGCTTTTTCCAAATGTTCTCGTACTACGGGGGTTACTCAGGCTATTCGCTCTCTCATCTGTGTCACGTGCTCAAGGACATTCTTTCCTGGGTTGGATTGTTCTTCCCAATCCTCCTTGGCGATATCTAATATTCTGCATGGGTGGCGTCCATACAGTAGCTCAAAGGGAGAAAAACCAGTGGACGCTTGGGGGACTTCCCGTATTGCAAACATCAGATACGGTAGAAGGGTAACCTAGTCTTTTCCGTCCTGTGCTACCACCGTCCGGATCATACCTTTAAGGGTGCGTTTAAACCGCTTGACCAGTCCATCTGTTTGTGGATGGTAGACTGAGGTCCGTATGGCCGGATGCAGAGCAGGGTACATAAGTCCTTCATTAATTTCGACATGAAGGGGGTTCCTTGGTCAGTCAGGATCTCCTTAGGGATGCCCACTCTGGCAAAAACCTGGAGTAGTTCTTTTGCTATTGCCTTGGATGTGGGGTTTCTTAAAGAAATGGCTTCTGGATACTGTGTGGCATAGTCAAGGATGACTAGTACGTTTTGGTGGCCCCATGCCGATCTTTCTAGCGGGCCCACTACGTCCATGGCTATCCTCTCGAAAGGGACTTCAATAATAGGCAAAGGTACTAATGGGGCCCGCAAGTGAGGTCGGTGGCTATGCAACTGGCATTCAGGGCAAGAGGTACAATAGCATTGAACCTCCGTGCGTATTCCTGGCCAGTAAAACCTTCTTAGGACTCTATATCCAGTGTCTTGTCTATTCCTAGATGTCCCCCAAATAAATGACTGAGCCAACTCTAGTACTGCACTTGTGTGTTTCTGTGGGACTAAGAGCTGCTCTACTTCTTCCTCTCGTATTTGTGCTATTCGGTACAACAGATCACCTTTGAACACATAATATGGCCTTGGGCCTTTGATCTTTTCCTCCACAGGTACACCATTTACTTCCACTATCTCCTCCCTCACATTTGCATATAGCGGGTCATTGGCTTGGTCCTGCCCGAAATTCTCACATGCAGGAAATTCTCATATCTGTATGTGCCCCAGTCTCAGCCTGGGGGTTGCTACCCTCCCCTGGCTCTACTGGGGGGAGTAAGCTCTCAAACCCTGGGAAGTCCCTACCAATTAAGACTGGATAGGGGAGCCTGGGGACCACCCCTGCAGTTACCCTGGTAGCATTCCCCTGGATCTCAATCCGTACTTGGATTGTGGGGTAGAAATTTCAGTGCCATGAACACGTTACCCTTGTGTTTTTGGCCCAGGTTAGCTGGTCTTGCCCCACCAACTTCCCCAAGACCAGCATGACAGCACTCTCAGAATCCACTAATGCTATGGTCTCAATACCATTCCTTTTTTCAGACTTCATATACCCATGCGGGGTCATTGCGACCGCTATCAGGCCGATTAGGCCACATTGCTCCCCGTGATCCCCCAGATTGCACTGCATAGGCTCTTCCCTGTTGGGGCATTGGGCTGCTATATGCCCCAATTCCCCACACTCATAACACCAACCCCTTACCCCGGTTGCCGCCCTCTGCCTGGGGCTATTTGGCCGGCCCTCCCAGTCCTCTCTTCCCAAACCCCCAGGTCCCTCCTTGGCCTCGGGCTATTTCTTGGTGTCTTTCCTCCCAGTTATGGTTCTCCTGGAGTTCTCGACAGTCCGGGGCCTTGGGTTTGGGACTGGCTTCCTGGTTTGCAGTGTCTCACCCCCTGGGGTCTGGAACAGTTCACGGGCTGCCAGCTGTCTTTCCACGAGGGAGACCAATTCATCATAGGTAGAGGGATCATTCTGGCCAACCCAAGCCCGGATGCCTGGTGGTAGCCCCCTCATATACCGGTCCAGTACCAGGAGCTCCATCATTTTCTCAGAGCTGAGGGCCTCAGGGCGCAGCCATTTCCGGGTCAGGTGGATCAGGTCAAACAATTGCAATTAGGGTGCCTTGTCCTCCATATACTGCCACTCATGGAACCTCTGGGCTCGCAACGCCATTGTTACTCCGGATCTGGCCAGGATTTCTGCCTTCAGCTGGGGGTAATCTGCCGCAGTCTCCACGGCCATATCCTAGTAGACCTTTTGGGTCTCCCCACACAGGAACGGGGCGAGGATACCAGACCACTGATCTCAAGGCCAGGCCTCCCGCAGGGCCCCTCTCTCAAAAGCCAGGAGGTATGCCTCCACATCATCCTCCCGTGTCATTTTTTGTAGGCAGTGGCTGGCCTGTATGGTCCGGGTCCCGTCGCAGTTGCAGTTCAGCTCAGCTCCATAAGGGCTTTCATCTGGTTCACCAGCTCCTGAAGCAGGGCTCGGTCCTGGGCAGCCTGACTCATCAACAGACAATTAGTCTCCTGCTGCATCCGAATCGCTTCCTGTTGGGTGGTTGCTTGGACCCGGGTAGCCTCCTGCTGGGCCGCGGTGGCTTGTATTAGGGCCTTGACCACGTCATCCACCTTAGGGACAGGATGGTTTTGGCTAACCCTGGTTTAAGTCCACAGTGCGGTAATCCTACTCTTAACACCACGTGTGGCAAATTGCCGACACTACTATGATGGGTCCTACACTTTCTCTTCTTGTGGGGGTGGGGGGGGTGTTTCAGGGTGCTGTTTCTTGCCCCGGATCTTGGGTATCAACTGTCCCACTAGTATCCCAGAGAAGGGGAGTGAAGAGGAAGGGACCCGGGCCAGCCCTCTACTCCAGGTCCCAGCCCAAGGGCCCTAGGGATAGCAGCAAGCCACCTGAACTAGCGATTTCATCCCCTGAGCTGCTTCCCACTCCAGCCCTTCAGCCTGTGGGGCTTCCTGCCCTCTCTGCGCTTGGGCCAGGTTTCTCCCAACCCCTTGTGTCTCTGGAGTCCCTCTGCTCTGCACAAGCCAGGTTTCCCTTTACCTAGGGTCTTGGTCTTCTGGCCCGCCACAGCACTTCTCCAAACTCTCCTCTGCTTCCCTCCAAACTGCTCTCCTCCAAACTGCTCTGTGCACCAACACCATCCACTCTGCTTCAACTCCTCCAACTGTCTGATTGAAGCAGGGGGGTTTTATCAGGTGACTGGCTTCAGGTACTCTAATTAATCTATAGCAACCTCTCTTCCTTCTTCAAGGAATAAGGCGCTCATCATTCTGGGGCTTACATATCTCCCCTCTATCACTCTCCTGCTGCCCCTTGGCCAAGCTGTATCATAGAATCATAGAATATCAGGGTTGGAAGGGACCTCAGGAGGTCATCTAGTCCAACCCCCTGCTCACAGCAGGACCAATCCCCAACTAAATCATCCCAGCCAGGGCTTTGTCAAGCCTGACCTTAAAAACCTCTAAGGAAGGAGATTCCACCACCTCCCTAGGTATCACAGTATACTGCTTTAGAAACTCATACTGGATGTACACTTACCCCTCTTATGAAATTTATCATAGTAGTTTCATTTCTTACCACCTGCAGGACATCCCTCCCTAAATGTGTGTCAGATACAGAATTAAAGCCTGTTGATAATGCTCACAGAACAGAATGAATAGACTAAATATATTAATTTCCTCTGAAACGTTTCAGTTTCCTTCCTTGGACCCTTAGAAGTGACAGCTTTTTAAGAAGTGCTTCCTATTGAGCAACCTTAAAATATCTCAAGGAAATTAGAAACTTGGGTGGCATATTTTAAAGCCGAGGGATCACACATCATCCAAGAACAAAAGTAAAAATCAGTGAGGTCTTAACACTGTAAACAATAGGTTTCTGTTTAGCTAACGGAGCATCTTGTTTTTCTTCTTAATGATTAAGCCATCTAAAAACCAGATGACAAAAGGAATAGACTTTTTACACTGTTGTTTACACATAACCATGTGTCAGTTTAACAGTCAATTACTTGCAAAACAAGTGGCCTTTTCAAGAGAAAAAAAATAAGTAGTTTCTAACAAAAGACTCTTTGATCTCAAGAGCTTATTCATTAAATACATCATTAACCCAATTCTGTGGACCGTTCTACATAATAACTAGAATTAAAGCTGTTGGAAGATATTTATCTTAAAATCTTGATATTTCAATAATACATGTTATGTCTGTAGTGTGGGAAGAAAGAATGACCATCGTAAAAAAAAAAAAAAAAAAAAAAAAAAAAAAAAACTTCTGAGGACCCAAAAGAAAGTATGTAGGTGACTTTGGGAAGTGCATCTTCAGGCTGTAACAAGTTTTCTTGGCTCAAGAAAAAAAATCAGCCATATTTCTAGTCCACTGGACTGAGAAAGCTGAGAAAGTTTTCATGGCAACTGCACCTACAAAACAAGGAGAATTTCCACTGCAAAGTGTAGTTCTATTTCTTCTATCTAAAGCATCAAATAAATCCCTAAGCAAATCAAGCAGTGGGGACCAGCTGTAAGGGGAGGTGTGTAGTCCCTCTATCCCTCACTTACAGAAGCACCAGTGGCCTTTCGTGCCACTGACATCTTCCCTGCCCAGGCTCTCAAGCAGGGCAGACATGGAGACCAGCAGCAAGGGACTGATCCCATCCACAAACTTTCACTCCTCTGCTGGCTGAGCCACTATCCTCTACTTGGTACAACTTCACTTGGGGACTTGCAGCAACCTCATTAAAATGCCCTATGTCTTCTCAGCAATGACCACTTAATTAGAACATCAGTCATCACCTCAATCATCTTAACTCACTGATCTGCTCCTAATTAATTGCCTGATTGATTAATGCCTATTTGATCTGCTCAACTGGGTCCTCAGCTAAATAATTACTTTGCTGTTCCCCCACCTGGCTTCTGCTCTGACATGCATGTGTTCACTACAGAGTTAGCCCAAGTGATCACGCCTGGGGCTAAGCACCTGGATTGGCCTAGGTCAGGTGTGAGAAGCCATTCTGCAAAGCCACACTTGATTTACTGGGCCTATATTGGTGCTGCACTCACCCATACAAGGCACTAGCACTTCTGGGATCAGATCCCATGGTTCTTTGCACTGCAGTAAGATGAGAGACTCTATGATTCTTTCCCGGTGAATTGTGGGAGAACTTGTGTGTTCTTCTGGACACCTGGAGCAGAACTGTGGGAAGGCACTGGAAGACTATCTGCACCCAAGTGGTTCAGCCTGCATCCATACTGAAAAGCTGGCAGGTAATCAGCCTGAGTGAAAGCAGCATTCAGGCTTAAGCCTGTCCCCCAGAATGGACTAGGTAGCCTGAGTTGAAAGCACCAAACTCTGGTGAGAGGGTTGTTTGTGTGGACAGGAGCCTGGTTAGGTTCAACACCTGAGAAAGAGACCAAGTTAATTAAAACATACTAAGTCAACCACTTCCCAAGGTCTAGACTATGTGGCAGTGAAAAATAGTGTTTTTATTAATAATCAAAAAAAAATGCAAATGTATTTGACTGTATTAATCTCTCCCTACCAGTGTATGCCACTTTTCTTAGATTGTAAGCTCTTCTGTGCATGGGCTACAGGTTTGTGTACTGCCTAGCACAGTGGAGCGCCAAATCCTGACAGGGGCCTCTAGGCATCACTGCAATACATAATGATGGATTACAAAACTTGTACTGTCTCCTGCAATGTAGGACCCCTAGTGCTGTTGCTAGTGATGGCAGAGGTCCTCTGTTCCCATCGCATTGATCTCTCCAGAGCTCTAGGAGACTTAGATGCCCATTTGAGAGGGATGCAATACCATCTGAATGTAGGTCTTAATTTGAACTGCTGCAGCTACTGGACTGCTTCTAGAAATAAGCATTCAGGATGGGTCTTGAAGAGCAGGATTTTCAGTCTGTCAGAGAGACCAACAGTATGTTTTACACTGTTAAAAAATAATTCCAGTGGAAACCAACAACTTCCCAGTTGAACTAAGTCACTTTTGATGACACTAGTTGGAAATACGGGATACCCAAGAATTTTAGGGCAAAGTTCCATGAGTTTTTGTTCCACAGTTTTACAGAAGTGAATGGAGCCAAAAAGATGATCAAAGTCTGGAAATGCTTCCCCTAGAGTTCATCTATTAAGTCAAATTTTGCTGCAGTTCACAAGCAACAAATGCAGCTAATGCTACCTGTAAATCATTAAGTTTAGTAAAAGCAGTTCATTCAAACACTGTTCCGTCTGCTTTGCGATCTCCAAATATAGGTATGATCCTCTATATATCTTAGCAGTCACACTTTAGGGACTGGGAAAGAGCTTAGTGGTAAATTGTGTTGTGTTTACACAGTATATTGTTTTCAAATGCTTAGAAGCCTAAAGGAACAGTTAAAGGGCCCCCAAATCTGTGCAAAATTGTTTTTTTCACAAAAAGTTATTCTAGCCCAGGGATTGGCAACCTTTGGCAAGAGGCCCGCCAGGGTAAGCCTCCTGGTGGGCCAGGCCAGTTTGTTTATCTGCCACAACCGCAGGTTCAGCCGATTGCAGCTCCCACTGGCCACGGTTCGCCACTCCAGGCCAATGAGGGCTGCGGGAAGCAGTACAGGCCGACGGATGTGCTGGCCGCCATTTCCCGCAGCCCCCATTGGCCTGGAGCAGTGAACCACAGCGAACCACAGTGGGAGCTGCAATCAGCCGAACCTGCAGATGCGGCAGGTAAACAAACTGGCCCAGCCCGCCAAGGGGCTTACCCTGGTGGGCTGCGTGCGAAAGGTTGCCGATCCCTGTTCTAGCCACTACTTCAGTCAAGAACAGCTGAACACATTTTTGTCAAACTTTCAACAATATATTTCTTTGAACTGAGAATTTCAAGCATAAAAAAAAAGTAGTCAGCCCGAAGGATAATTCTCTGGAAAAAAAATTATAGTACATCCACAATTTGAAGAGAAGAAAATGGAATCCTTCCTCTGCTTTGACTATAGCATCACTACCTATGACACAATGAGGTCCTTGTATATTTAGGAATGCACACTATAACATCTGGGACTCATAATTAGGGGTTTTTTGTATTTACAAGCAAGATGCTGGTTTATGAAAGAACTGATTGAAATTTAACTTCTTAATTATAAGAAGCTGATATGGTATATCATTCTGAAGGGTGTCAGACATCACTGTAGTTAGTCAAAGTTTCAAAACCTTTTGAAATTTCAACAGAAAGTGCAAAAATTTTCAACCAGCTCTAGAAATAAAGTGTAAGTTTCAGGAAAAGTGATTTGATGGCCATAAGGACGACTCAGAGGAGAATGGGAGTTGAAATAAGAGCCAACAAAGAGCAGAGTTTCTAGAAATGTTAACGTAAAGGTAAAAGGGCTTATTTTCAATTCTAGTAATAAGGTAAACAATATCTATCCACTCAATATTAGCACCAGGCAAGTTTTTTGGACAAACAGTTTATTCACCCTTCCCCCCCCCCAATGCCGTTTTGGTTGACCTGAATCTATATGCAAATTTAACAAGAATTAGCCAGATGTTTTTGACCAAAAACATGTTCAAGCTTCAAAAAGGAACTGTGTGCCATTCACAAAACCAGGCTGGGGATAGAGGTGCTCCCCTTCCTGATAACTTTTAGCCCACTATTTAGGGCACTCACCAGGACACATGAATAATCATCAGGCCAAAAAGAGAGAGAGAATGACTCTGTAATCTGATGGTTAGGGCACTCATCCTCAGAGGTCAGAGAGCCAGGATCAATTCCCTGCTCCACAGCAGGCAGAGAAGGGAACTGAACCTGGGTCTCCCATATCCTGGGTGACCGCTCTGAACATTAGGCTAAAAGTTAGAAGAAGGCACCATCACCACCTCCCTTCTCCCTCATCTAGCCCTTTAAAACTGACCTAAACATTTTATTTCCAGGTAAACAAACATTTCATTTGACCTGAAATGGACTTTACCAATTCATTCAAAATTTTGGAATTTCTCATTTTTATTTTGACCCAAACCCTTTTCCCCCCAAAAAACTTCCAGCAAACCAAAAACTCAGTTATTCATTCAGCTATATTCAAGATAAAATCCTGTCAATAAAATATTGGTGATTTAATCTTGATCTAAGTTTACCCTTAACTGGTTGTTTTAGGAAATATTGTTGCTATTTTACCATATGTATAGCTGATCTATTTTCCTACTTAAAGAGACATAAGACCAAATCCTGCAATTCACTGTTTGCTGGAGAACAGTTGTACCTGCATGGAGCCATATTGATTTCTGTGGTGTACAGAGATCTCCCCAGGCACAAAACATTCCAGGGTCTTAATGTTTGTGTGAAGTGTTCTAAATTCCACAGGCATAAGATGCTACGCAAGACAGGTCTAACCCACAAATTTACATTGATATAACTATGTCACACAGTGGTGTGAAAAATCCACAACTCCTGAGTGATGTAGTTATAACAACCTATCCCCCAGTGTAGACAGCGCTAGCCTGTGGACAGATAATCCACCTCTGTAAGCGGCAGTATAACTACACCAACGGGAGAAGCTCTCCCACTGGCTTAGTAGCATCTTTGCTTAAGTGCTTTAGTCTGCACTGCTGTACATATAAACAGGACCTGAGTGTTTCATCTTATTCTTCTACTTGCCTTAAGGGACTTGGGACTGGCTGGTGCTTTAAGCCTTGTCTATACTAGAGTTTTCCCTCCATTGCTAACATGGATTTACCTCAACCAGCAGAGACAATGATAGGAGTACCTGCATAAACAAGGTGTTGGTTATCACTAGTATTTTACCACAACGGTGTGTAGACTTGCTCTGAAACAATTTATGACAGTGCTTAACACCCTGGTGGCAGCCTAAAGCCCTGCCTACACTAACACACCCACCATTGCTACCACAGGTGAAGCAGCACCAGCATTTACAATTGGCAGAACAGAAACTTTCTTACCTGGTAATTTCTTTTCTGCTAAAAGCATCTCCCACAATTCTGCTATGCATGGGCTGTGCTCTTCCTATCTGCAGCTTCTGGAGGTGGTTCAAAGCTGCAGTGCGGCTTGTGCATACCATGCCCTCTTCTCCCACTTGCCAACAAGTAAGTCATTCCAAAGCTGGGTGAAAAACTCAAGAGAAAAAGTATAACTAACATTAATGTCCAATTCATTAACCACATATGCCAGGTCAACTCCCTGTAGGGTAAATACACCAAATAAAATATTGACTCTTGACAGAAAGCCATCTTGGGTGAGTAAAATTGTGGGAGATGCTGTTAGCGGAAAGGAAATTATCAAGTACGAAATTTTCCATTCTGCAGTCCAGTGTCACCAATGAACAGGAATAATAAGGAACAAGAAAAGGCAAACTGAAAAGAGAGAGACAGACTCCCCACCGCATTGAGAATTGTCCAGAAGGCAAGGCCATTACAAGACCACCACCTGGAGCATGTTCCTGCCAGAGACAGCTTCTGTGGAGGACAGAAAATCCACTTTGTAGTGTTTGATAAAGGTGTTAATCCATGACGATGTGGGTGCTCCACATATCTCTACAGTGGAGGTACATGCTCATTTGGCCCCTGGCCATGGATCTCATGAACTGTGCCCTGATTTCTTCTGGAACAGGAGTCCCTGACACTTTGTAAGGCCTCAACAACGCACAATCTGACCCATCTAGTCTTGAGATTCTGAGCTCTTAGCATTTTGAGTGAAAGACACACAGAACACCTGACCTCTGCATGGATTCTGTGAGGGTGAGAGATTTTTCAGTGCTCTGACATCTAAAGTGTGCCACGGCTTCTAAATCAGGTGCTGTGGCTTTAGGGAGAAGGAAGGATAATCTCTTCCAAGATACGGGAAAGAGAACCCGGGAGAGAAAAGTTTGGTGTTTTCAGTACCACCTTGTCCTCATGGAACATATAGTAGGATTCCTATACAGATAGCTCTGAAACATGACTACCAGATACGATGGCAACCAGAAAACAGGTTTTGATGGATATACACAAGGCTGATATAGAGAGGCTCAAAAGGGTGAGTGGTTAGGGCCTTCGACACCTGCAGTATGTCCCATTTAGGAAAGACTGGTCTGGTCAGGCTGACTGCTCTGAGAAATCTGGCTACCTGGGGATTCTGTTCCAAAGAGCCCGAAGATTTTCAAGATAGAACTCTTCTAATGGCTGATACCTGTTGTGCTATGGTGTGGGGCTGAGAACCTTAATCCATCTCTTCTTAGAAAAATTCAAAGGTAGATCTAGTTCCAGAATCTCTTGGATTAGCATTGCTCTCCTGGCACCAAAGGCTAAACTTGGTCCCAATGGAACAGGCTTTTATCCTGGAGACTCTCCTGGACACGAGCAAAGTCCTGACGACTTCAGAAGACAGGCTTTCAATAACCAGGCTTCTCAACTGAAGACGATTTGGGTGGAGAAGAGTGCTTTGGAAAGCTGTTGGGTGGTAGCTGTAATGGTGAATTCAGTTTCAGCTTTATCAGATGGTACAACCATGGCCTCCTTGGCCTATACAGAGTTATCACGACCAACTTTGCTTTCGACGGAAGGGGGGAATGCACATAGCAGGCCTTATGGCTACCTGTCCATGGGAACTGGTGCCCCGTTGCACTTGGATTCTGCTTCCCTAGTGAAGTATTTCAGCCATTTGGTGTTTTTGCAACTTGCAAACAGATCAACCGAGGGAAAACTGAATGTCTGAGATCAGATGGAAGACAACTTCCTGATTCAGGCATCATTCTGAGTTGTTGACTGTGCATCTGCTAAGCAAGTCTGCTTCCTGATTCATCTCTCTAAGGTGCCACAAGTACTCCTTTCCATCTCCATTTCTGTGTAACACCTTTAGGAAAGCAAGGATCTTTTCTGCCCATTCTATTATCTCCATCACTTCTGCACATAGAGCTATGCTCCTTGTTCCTCCTTGGTTGTTTATGTATGCAATTGTGATTGTATTGTCTGATTGGCCCAGGACGATTGCCCTGTTGCAGGGGTGGGCAAACTATGGCATGTGGGCCGCATCCGGCCCGCAGGATTGACCCCTGTGGTGCTGGAGGCCCCGCGCTGCTCTCAGAAGCAGCCGGCACCATGTCCCTGCGGCCCAGGAGAGGGGAGGCAGAGGGCTCCGTGCACTGCCCTGGCCTCCAGGCAACGCGGCCAACGGGAGCTTCGGGGGAGGTACCTGGAGGCGCGGCAAGGGCAGCACGTGGAGCCCTGTGCCCACTCTCCCTCAGGGGCCACACAGGGACATGGTGTTGGCCGCTTCCGGAGCAGTGCGGCGTGGGGCCAGGGCAGACAGGCAGGGAGTCTGCCCTGGCCCTGTTGTGCACTGGTACCACCGTAGAGTCTCTTTAGGTAAGTGGCGCCGGACCGGAACCCGAACCCCTCCTGCACCCCCACTCCCCAACTCCCTGCTCTAAGCCTCCTGCCTACACCTCACATCACTCCTGCACCCCAACCCTTGCCCCGAGTACCCTCACACAGTCCGCACTTCTGTCCTGAGCCCCCTCCTGCTGTCTGCCCCCCTTCCCTGAGCCCCCTCATAAATCCCACACCCCTCCTCTGCCCCAATCCTTTGTCCGGAGCCCGTTCCTGCACACTGCACCCCCTCCCATATCCCATGCCCCAGCCCTGCATAAAATTTCCCCAACCAGATGTGGCCCTCAGCCCAAAAAGTTTGCCCAACTTGCCCTATTGGTAGCTCTGCAACCTGCTGCAAGCCAGTTTGACAGCTCCAAGCTCCAGGAGATTTGTGCTGTGTTTCCTCTCCTCAGCGCTCCAGGTACCCTACACCATTCTGAGTCCCAAGTGTACTCCCCAATCTGGCACGCTGGCATCCATTGTGAGAACCAGAGGGTCTGGAAGGCATAGGGAAGCCCCCCTTGTGGATGTTTCAAGGGTCTGTCCATCATGCTAGAGAGCAGAGTACAGTACCGGGCTTGGGCTCATCGCATGATTTTTCACGTGTTCTAGGGAGAGGTCCCATACTTTCAGAAGGAAGGCCTAGGCGCCTGCTGTGGGATCCTGTCAGTGGGGTGATCCCTATGCATGACCCCAGCAACTGAAGGCACCAAGCTAGTGCGCACTTGTGCAGGATGGCAATGAGATCTTGGATCTTCTGGAACCGGTTGAGTAATGGTTAGATCTTTGCCACTGACATACTTATGTCCACTTTCAGGATCAAGTTTCAGAGTAACAGCCGTGTTAGTCTGTATTCGCAAAAAGAAAAGGAGTACTTGTGGCACCTTAGAGACTAACCAATTTATTTGAGCATGAGCCACGAAAGCTCATGCTCAAATAAACTGGTTAGTCTCTAAGGTGCCACAAGTACTCCTTTTCTTTTTTCAGGATCAAGGAACTTTTCTTGGTGCTTATCACAAAACCATGGGCTTCCAGGAGGTCTGAAGTTCACACTGTGGTGTTCTAGAACCCAGGCTAGGTCAGCACTCTGATTAGAATGTCATCCAAAAAGGGGTATAGGTGAGTAACCTGAGCCTAGCTATGATCATCACAAGCATTGCTGTAAAGACTCTTAGGGCCAATGAGAGACCGAATGGCCTCAAACTTTTTCATGATCTCAAACTTCTCCAGGGAAGGGTAAGGGGAATTTTAGCTCCATTTTACCTGAGTCCTGCTCAGATTCTAAGCCCAAGAGCTCTCCTTTGTTGGTAGAGGCAGCAGCAACTGACTCAAAGGACAAGTGCCTTCTGGATATTTTTGTACTTTCTGAGCTTTTCTGACTTTTTGGCACACTTTGCAGGTGTGGCTGCCTGAGCATGGCCAGAATGTGGTCTCTTGGGACTTGCTCTACACGGAGCCAAATCCCTCTAGAGAACTCTTCCCCTCCCCCGATCTCTCTCTCATCCGAGTCCCACTCTCCTGTGGATGGGATCTGATCCAGACTGGGGAAGCAGAGGGCGCTATTTAGGAACCCAGCATCTCTCCCCATCTAAGACCCAATTTAGGCCTTGTGGTGGGGACCAGTATCCCAGTAGGGTTATCTTTGTGGTCCTGTTTTACTCCAGGACTTACCCCCCTGGGAAGGCTGGATAAAGTCCTCTTTGTCCTTAGAGTCTCTGTCTGTTCTGATCTGTCTCTTGGTTGGTTTCTCTGTAATGGAGTTATGCCTGCTTGGGTGGGTAGGGGACTCAACATGCTTGTGACTCAAAGCTTTATGCCCTACTAGAGTTCGGGTTGGCTGGCTCACTAGGAGCAGGCTGGGCATGATTTGCCTTCTGCTGAGCCTGAGAAGGTGCTCTGTATGCAAAGCAGCTTTCTGGACTTTGCCTGATGCTTGAGCAGTTGCTCTGCCATACCTGCCTGTGATGGGGCAGAGGAGCCCAGTGAGGAGGAACTGCAGCAGGGGCTTTAGGTGGTTGTGACCACTGCACTGCTCAGACACTGGACTAGGATGTGGCAAGGAAGCATGAAGCAAAAAGTTCAAACTGCCTGAAAAATGCCCAAAGCAATGAAGTCAAAAGAAAAAGAATGGGAGCTAAGCGAACCACCACCGTCTGCTGCTGCAGAGGCAGAAGATCTGTCAACAAGTGGGAGAACAGGGACGTCGCCAAGGCAATGCAGCTTTGGCTCATCGATGGAAGCTGCATAGAGGAGGAGAAAAGCCCATGTGCAGCAGAACGGTAGGAGATACAGCAACTCCTCACTTAACGTTGTTGTTATGTTCCTGAAAAATGTGACGAAGTGAAACGAAGTTAAGCGAATCCAATTTCCCCATAAGAATTCATGTAAATAGGAGGGGTTAGGTTCCAGGGAATTTTTTTTCTTTTGCCAGACAAAAGGCATTATATACATTTTAAACAAGCAATTGAATACGACAGTCATCATTGCTGAGTATGAAGCTTGGTTGAGGTGGTGGAGTCAGAGAGTGGAAGAGCATGGATTGTCCGGCTGCTCCTCCTGCTGAACTTTCTGAACTGGAAAAAACACATCTAGAGATTGTTTTGCTTTCCTTTTTTTTTTTTTTCTTGGTAAATTTCTTTATAGTAAGTCATTTAGATGACCAACTCCCCTAATCACTTTTCAGAGTAACAGCCGTGTTAGTCTGTATTCGCAAAAAGAAAAGGAGGACTTGTGGCACCTTAGAGGCTAACCAATTTATTTGAGCATAAGCTTTCGTGAGCTACAGCTCACTTCATCGGATGCATCACGATGTAGCTCACGAAAGCTTATGCTCAAATAAATTGGTTAGTCTCTAAGGTGCCACAAGTACTCCTTTTCTTTTTCCTAATCACTTTGGAGCTGCATTCCCTGTCAGGATCGTCATCACTCAACCCTCAGCCCACCCACTCCACCCCTTCCCCAAGCCCCCACCTTGACCTGCCTCCTCTCCCTCCCCCCTCCTCCCCCTTTACTTTGCACACTGCATCCTCACTCCTCCCCCTCCCTTCTGAACGCGGCAAGCCAGCTAATTGCCGCAGGCAGGAGGCAGGGAGGAATGGGGGAGGCATGCCGAGTCCTCGCTCCTCCCCCCTCCCTCCTGCCTGGGGCAATCAGCTGGCTTGCAGCATTTAGGAGGCAGGAGGGAAGGGGGAGGAGTGAGGACTCAGCACGCAGGCTCCCCCTCCTTCCCCCCACTGCCTCCTGCCCAGGGCAATCAGCTGGTTTGCGGTGTTCAGGAGGGAGGGGAAGCCTGTGCTCCAAGTCCTTGCTCCTCCCCCCTCCCTCCTAAACACCACAAGCCAGCTGATTGCCACAGGCAGGAGGCGGGGAGGAGGGGGAAGGTGCTGATCTGTGGGGTCTTCCGGCAGGCGCCGGGGGGGGAGGGGCGGGGGGGGCATAGGGAGGCTGCCAGCTGTGGAGAAAGCAGGCAGCCAAACAATGTAATAGTGGAACATTGCACAACTTTAAATGAGCATGTTCCCTAATTGATCAGCAATGTAACAATGAAACATTAACCAGGACAACTTTAAGTGAGGAGTTACTGTACTGGTGTGACAGAATTATGTTACCAATCTGCCTGAGGCGTCAGGTGATCAGGCTGAGGCCGCAGTATCACTAGGGGAGGAGATGAAGGAGCACACCAAGTGACTAAGGTTTGAAGTTTTATTAATAAAACAACAGCAGCGAGTGCTGGGAACGCTCCCACATCACTCAGAGGAAGAAAGTGTTAGGGCCACTTTCATACTAACCCACTTTCATACTCACACATGCATGACCCGAGGCTGGCCAAGCCTGGGTGTAATGTACAAAGAAGAGGGAAGGGTAGACGAGAGTTCTGTCCTGTGCACAGGCCGTCTAATGTCCGCTGTTGATCTCCGATTTGCTTCAGCTCTCAGGACGGTTTTAAGTCCTGGGGTCTTTTGGGGGCGTCTCGTTCATGAACATCTGCCCCCCATGCTCTTTGTACCAGTCCAAACCAGCCTTCCGTGGCTTCCTCAGCGTTCCCTAAACACACCGGCTTCAGAGATGTAAAAGCTATTGTTTTTCCCCTCGCTGGCCTTCACCGTCTCACTAGTTTTCGCAGCCCCTGCAGTTCTGTTCAGCTGAATCCTTTCTCATTCCTGGTTGGAATCCAGGCCCCCGTCTTTCTTGGCAGGCAGCGGAGAGTTGGTTGTGTGCTGTGGCCTTCAGCATCTTATCTTCGGACCTAGCTGGAGTGTTGAGTTAACCCATTCCCTTCTCCTTTCCTCCCTCTACGGCCTCTCGTAACCTGCAAAGGAATCTTTCACTCCACACTCACACCTTTCACCCTTCCCCAAATGCCTTGTGATGCCTGCCACAGCGTTAGCAACATACAATGCTGGTCTATCTCCCCAGGGGACCCCCTGAGGGAGTGGGCCAATGGGTTGTGACACTGGGCTGCAGAAAAAGAACTTAGCATAGATACAGCCTTAAAGATTTAAACCATTTTACAGTTCTCTTCTACATACCCTCTATACATTACCATAAAAAGTCATACTAAAGTCTTTGTGACAGAAGTTTTATTTAGAGGGAAATTATAATTTTTGCATATACATGGCACAAATTAATTATATACAATACACTTTCCATGATAAGAATTATGATGCTGTTCACAGAAAGGTATCGATTTGAGATACATAATGCATAAGCTAAAATATACAAACAAGGGGATGTGGTGAACCTAATGACCTTTTTTGTTTAATTCCCTATAGATGTATTTCAAGGAATAC